TGAACGCCATTATTGGGGTAAAACTGGCTCGTTATTGCATTTTTAGCACTCGCAAAATGTTCAAATTTTAGGAATTGTTAAATGTAACAAACTCTCTACTGTATTACTAATGTCAAAAGAAAAAAATATCCTAGTACTCAAACTGATAAATATAACATAATAATATAAAGTGGTTGTTTTTATTTTTATTTGTACATGAATGAAATAAATTATATTGTTTTGTTTATTTTTAAGAGTACCCGGCAGAGCAGAGACATCTTACAAGGTAATTATATTCATATCAAGTATTTTTTTAGAAGACTGAAACAAGAACATACACAACACAAAATATATTGATACACTTACAAATAAAAAACATGCAGTCACTTGATCGATTTTAATAGATGAGTTTTTTAGATTTGTTTTAACCATTATATCAGGTTGCTTCAACCTATTGGTCTTGGAATTTTGTATTAGATTGTTATGCACTATTGCTCCTATGTAGTAGGGCGAAAACACCTGTGTACATTTAATATCATAAACTAGTTAAATGTATATTTTTTATAGGTATTCAAATTACACGTACTGAAATTGTTATGAATTTTGGGTTGGTGGACTCGCACAATGGGCTGACTGCAATCACCATCAATCACATGGGAGAGTTAGTCGTGATTGATTTGACTGACTGCCATATTCAGATTCTGGATTGGGGTGGATGTAGGGCTGTATTAACCTTCAATGGTTTAGCCGGAAAATCCATACTGCGTGACGTTGCAGTCTCCACTGATGGACTATATTACATAACTGATTCCACATACAACCAGATAATAGTGTGTAGAGATGACAATAAGGTGATAAACACGTTCCCTGTACCTGGTTTCATCAAACCCCGTGGCATCACTCTGACCAATGATGGTAAACATGTGCTGGTGACTGATCATCAAAGCTATAATCACAGCGTTAAGAAATACACCGTAGATGGCGTGTTTGTATCACAGTATCAACCAACAGGAGACCTCAAGCTCAGCTACCCGCGCTATATTGCCGTAAATAGTATGGATCAAGTAATCGTGTCTGACGACCTTAATTATCGTATCCAAATATTGAACTCTGAATTACAATATGTAAATTCAATTCCATTTAGGGACAACGTTGGCCAGAGTTATTTCCCAACAGGATTAAGTGTCGATGGTATGGACAACATCTATGTTTGTAATTATAACAATGACAGCATTTTGGTGTACAACAATCTGTTGACATGTGTGGATAGCATTTACATTGATTCTCCAAACAGAATTGTTGTTAGGAAAGACACGCCAATGGCAATCATAGCAGTCACCTCAACTGATACAGTCACAATTCTTTATGACGAAAATATCTACAATAAGGAGTAATAAGGAAAATAAGTATCCTACATAGAATAAAACAATGGCTTCGTAGATGCTCCTTCTTTGAGATCAAAACGATCAATGTATTATGACCCTGTCGCATACGACTTACTTCCGTGTCACTGAGAATGTTCTAGAACCGTACTGTGTTTGGGTGGAATATTCTAGATTTTGTTTAGAAACTGGTTGAATAGGTAATAGAACACTGTAGGAGGCAATATAAGGTAATGGAACATTCTAGAAATTGGTAGTAAGTTCCAGACTCATTATGTATGCTGAAGTAATGGTCTATTTATAGACAGTGTGGGTATATATAGGGGAGTTGTTCAGCACTGAGTTCAGATCGGAGATCTCGTTGAATTGTATTGGAGTTTAAGTATCTAGTTATTGGAGTAGTGGAGTTTTACCGCGTTATTGTACTTGATGTTTGCAGAGTATAATAATTCCAGTACCAGTTGAAACCTCATCTGTTGGCTCCGTGTTCGTAATTTATCATCGCCGCCAGCAGGGAAGTCTTTCTGTTACTGTTGCCATTTTGGTATTTGACCCATCACACCTGTACTATACCAATTACGGTAATATTACGTTGCGTATGACAGACCCATATACATACTGAAGAAATGGTTATGGCTACAATTATAATTTAAATATCACCTCTGTCAAGATTATTTGTTCTTGGCGAGGATTGGTATGTTGCCTGTGACGTTGTGTGCTGCAAAATGGTGCGCGTTTGTATGGCTTTAAAAGTATCCCGATGTACATTTTATTCAGAAAAAAAATTATGTTTATATTAGAAAGAGGTACTGTTTTTACAAATGTACATTTATATTTCACAAATGAAATTCATATTCTATGAGTCTATATTTGCTCAATATATATATATTATCATTTGGGTTCTTAGAAAGTAATTGTTCAGGGTCAGTTAATTGAGAACATTTTTGCATTATGTGTATTTTTTGAATGTTTGGTCTGAATATAGTACAATGGGGGTATGCACCTTGAATATAGTATACAGCTACTTGTGTGTCAAAGTATTTTAAATGTTTAATCTTTACTGTGAGTAGGTGTTTTAATGTGTAATTGTGTCACTTCAGATTTATTTTATTAATTCGGTTCCTGGAGAACTGCGTATACTTTGTATTTATTTGCGTTGGTTCACAATGTTGAACGCGCTTTTAACACGCCGAATAAAACCGATTTCACAACGCGCAACTGAATTGCATTATTCTGTTACGCCAATGTCAAGTTGATTATTACCTGTTACGATCTAAATGAAACACGTTCGTATAGAGATTGACCAACTTTTATGTAATGACAAAATATGAACAAAATTATTGTACAGGGAAACTGGATGGTGAAATATTTATTTAGTTCCGATTCATTTTTCTATACCCATTCATTACATCTCCATTTATTGTTTTAATAATTTCAATATTAACTATTTTAATTTAACCCTATATAGCTCAGTTACTTAGCTGAAGTGTCCTTGTATTTATGTTGAGGAATGTATTAATAATCTATAGGCACATGTGCATGCCTTGTATGTATGTGTGGGGTAAGCAGACAAACATTTACCGTTGAATTGTTGAATTTCTCAATTCTCGAAAAGCAATCGTGTTAGCAAGCAGGCACTGTTTACATTTTGTAAAATGAATAAGAAAACACCAAACCTGATTTTAGCCCCCCCCCCCCAAAAAAAAAAACACGATCGGTTTTTGCTTTGGCGTGTTATCAACTAGTTATATTTCGATTGTGTGGTATGAGTTTGTATTGTGCTTTTATTGACTTTTATTTGCGATAACAATATTTGGCAATCGTTGTCCTAAGTAACTGTTCAAACATTACACGGCGTTTCGAGCAATGATTCGAAATTTCAAATTGTGGACGAATTTAATATGGCTACACTCACTATCACCGTAATATACAGAATTGTTGTTGGTGTGGTTTTGCACTGATTCCCTCATACACCAAAATATTCGCTCATGAGTTCAGGAAATGAGAACAATCTAAACCAGTTCGCTAGTTTTGTTTATTTTTCTGTCAAAGCCAGATCTAAATATAATAGGCTGTAACTACTGCATGACTCAAATGTAATTAAATTGTATTTTGTGATGGACTTAAAATTAGAATAGAATTTTACTCAATTATTTGCACTGTAATAAACCATTATAAGATGTAAAATACAGAAATATACATAACTTTTTTCTGTATCTATATGGTAAAACAATCGTTATCAACCAAAGATTTGATACACAGTACCCGTCTATCATAAAAACTTACAGTCCTTCGCATGTTTAAGAAAACCATGTTTAAAGCCCGATTTAAAACAACTGTCTATATTCAGGACTTTCCACCAAAAAACAATTTCTGTGTGTTTTCATATAACGTATCTGCAAGCTCCACAATATCTTCATCCCTCGCTGCCGCCATGACCTCCAACACTTGACTACAAGAAGAATAAACAAACATGAAAGTTGTGGGACCCATATCGCAAATTATATTAACAGCGTTCGTAGACGTCAAATCATAAGGTAGAAGAGCTGACAAATCTGTGTGTTTTGTTAACATCCATTTTGTAAGATTTTGAGCTGGGGAACTTTATTTCTGGCAAGAATTGCACAACATAGTCACATGTGAGGTTTACAACGTCGCCAACTCACGTGTGTTGTATTCACTGAATCACGTGTGTGGTTTTCTAAATAATCACGTATAGGGTTTTCTTATCAACAATTTGACAATCGTCTCTTGTTACAGAATCCAAATGCACTTCTTATTACAATTGGAATAGTAGGCTATTTGGCTCATTGCGCCATCCAAGCATTATTTACCTTCTAAGTTACTTGTACTTGTACACAAAGCTTAATTAGAAATAGCCTTACAGGATTTTAAGTTTGTCCGGATATTGAACTCCATAACACATGGCCAAAATTAGTTAAAGCGGTGATGTCGTCAGCTGCGCATGCGCCAGTTGGCCATAGCGTGCCATTGTTTACAAACAAGCGTCCACCCATGAGCATTTGCGTTTTAGGTACGCGTTGTCATCGTCGGTTGGGACTCAATTCTCACGGGTGCGCAGGTGACGACCCCTCCGCTTTAACATGATGTTACATTCAGCAAAATATTGAGTTCAATACAACTTTCAGTGGTGAATTGTAACCTGGTTAACAATTTTTGTTAGACAACATGATAATGACATTAGATAACAATTCCTAAAAGGGTGAATTCCACGTGTCTCCAATAGATCAGCAATGACTATTGAAATACAAACATGTACATAGAGGGCAAGTACATTTCTTTGCAATTTCTCACATGAATGAGTTTTCTTCCTTGATTCTGTGAACTTACATGATATTGCATGGCTCATTTCGACTTTTCACACCAAATCCACGTGTCCATTTCTCTTTCTTCTTCGTCTGTAAATGAGTCTTAATAAATTTATGCCCAGCATGTGCAGGACGTATCTCACACCATGGTGCATCTGTAATGACAGTATGTATGACATTATAAACGGATTGTATTCAACTGAATCGTGCCACTATGAGAGCATAACATAATATGCTAACTACATGTAACACTAAACATGACTGCACAGTATTCAAATGCATTTAAAATCGCTATGCATGTCAATCCTTTAAAAGTAAAAATATTTTAAAATATATTTTAATCTTGGAAAATTAAATAAAATTCCGGAATATAGAATTTTACTGTCAGTTAATATATGGACATAAACGTATATACTGCCCTCCATTCCGACAATGAAATTTCATTTGTCAAATGTTCCCAGGAAAGTTTTTGATGTTCGTGAAAGTTAAATTGACAAAATTTATATAAACTATCTGCAAAAAGTATATAAACTAATCATATCCTAAATTTCCCTCTTAGACAATATCTGTCATATAATGAACTGTATGCACTCAACATGGGGTTTCCAGCTTCTGAAGAGACAAAGCATACTTTTGCAGCTGTGGCTTACTGTATACTCAATTATTATTACATTGTACCTAGTGTACCTACTTGCAGATAGGCTCATTTCTCAATTCCCGCCGCTAAAGGGAATGGTCTATTATTCTATCACACAAACTACCCATGATGCATTACCAAAAGCCATATTGTCGTCTACCTGTTTCAATCATGAGTCTCTCAATGGGTATTCCACACATAGCATCAACGTTATCTTGGCTTTTAAGAGAACTGTGAACAAAAAACATAGCATCAAAATGTGGGTTTTTTTTATTATAATAGAGTCCCTGTTAGTTCAATATGAGATGAGTCGGGCATTTTCAACCTGAACATGAAACAAATTGCACGTTGTATAATGTAGTTGTTTAATTGTGATAAGTCAGTGTATGTCTGAGACATGACACGAGAACATCATTTGAATTTGGCCATTTTTAAACCCAAAAACATTGTATGCCACAATGTATAATAGCTTTCACTATATAACCTGGATCCGAAATGACAGAAATGCTTGATTATTATGCATTTTTAATATTTTCGAATTTGATCATCAATCAAATATATATGCATATGTGCGGCATGATACATATATATAAAGTTTGAACATGATCGGTCGAGGCATTTCAGAGATATGGCTCTGGGACAGCATTCATTTAAAATAAATGGCCACCGGTCAACCATTTTGAATTCAATTTGAAAATCAAAAATACGTGCATCAAAGTCACATTATTTACAACGTATATGTACCAAGTTTGAACTAAATCTATCCATAATCGACTATAATGAATATCTGAAGTTTGGAAATGATTGGTCAGGGAATGTTTGAGATTTAGCTCTGGAACCGAATAGCTGCCACGCGGGTAGCATGAATCTGATCTAAAAACAAAATGACATGCATCAAGGTCCCATAATTTGAACGAAATCCATTTATCCATGACCAAGATCAGGTTCGAGAATAACAGAAACGCTTGATTTTAATGATTTGACCAACATCCGCTCATTTTGAAACTGATTTGAAAAATAAAATGACGTGCATAAAGAGCCCATAATGTCTAAGGTATGTAAGTTTAAATGAAATTCATCCAGACACGACGAAGATCCAGGTCCAAATGGCCGCCATTCAGCCATCTTGAATCAACCATCTTGAATCAACCCGTGAAAAAATGACCACTAGAGGGCGATCAACATACTCTGGCGGATTTTGTTTTAGTTATCAAAGTCACAATATTCTGGTAAAACAACACATTGGGTGATTTGTATAATTGTCAGTCTACCCTACCATCCACTTATTCCCATGTATAAACCCATCTCAAGTAAACTGGATGCTTCTTCTTTGGAACCGGCAAAAGTATGCACCTGAGGAATAGAACAGTGTTTAAAATTGCGCATGGCTGAGACAGGTGACTTGCCAGTCGGGTTGGCGAAGTTTTAAACTTACATGCTTACATACTGATTTTTTTGAATAACACAACACATTGTGCTTCAAATGCATAAAACAAGAACATCAAAATATGCTCATCACACTTCCTGTAAATGTGTTCTGGTTCCTTTTCAGTACGTCTGATATGATAAAATAATACTTACATGTCGACAATGAAAAAAGCGTAATTGTTTCAAGATACAAGAGTCATGAAAAATAGTATAAGTTTTAGAATATATAGTACACATTTTAACACTGGTTTCTATGGTAAAATTATTTCTTCATATCTAAAAATTTTGCTCAGAGACATAAGATGGAAGGGTCAAAAAATAATATGAATCATAAAATTGCTAGAAAAAAACTAGATATATAATTTAGTGTTCTATTGTATACAATGAGGAGTTCTCTCCCATAATGCATTGCACATATGTGCAGTAGCATGCTCAGTAGACAAATTTGTATTCAACTCAAACAGCTGTGACGTAATGTCTAATTAAATCCCCAGTGAAATCTGTGCAAATTGTTCTCATACAAATACTCCCGCGGCCAGTCATAGAGTGCTCCTTAATTATTATTTCAACAATATAATTAATCTTCTAAACATACTTGAATGACACCTCAGTTCAGTGTTCAGAATGTCAATGAGCACCTTAGCTTACTATAAAAAGTCTATGGCAGATAGTGCATACATATATATGTCCATACCTATCAAATCAACATGAGCGTTTCTGCAATGAAGAAACATCGGTAGTTTGGTTTGCTCAGCAAGGTGAAACTGTTTTTCAAAGTATCTGAAAGCCAAGGGAATTAAATAACATGTGACACCTTACATATGATTAGAGTTGTGAAAAAAAAGTTGTTTCAAATAATCCGTTCTTCCAATACCACAGAACCGCTATTGACTTTGTCCTTAATGACACTGAATACAAATTAGGATGAAAGATTTTAAAGCAGGGAAGTCGTCACCTGCGCATGCGTCAAATGGCCATGGCGTGTCATTGTTTACAAACAAGCGTCTACCCATGAGCCTTTGCGTTTTAAGCGTGTGTTGTTATCGTCGCTTGGGACTCAATTGCCGCGCGTGCGCAGGTGACGACCCTACCGCTTTAATATATCATACTTACTTCAACTGAATTTTTTTGGAACAAAAGTTAAGACTGTCATAGTCTATAATAAAATAAAAGAACTATATTACTAAAAAGGCAATAATTAACTCAAACTCATTTTCGGGCAATAAAACGAAATTGCACCGCTCACTGTTCTTTGGAAGAATGATAGGCATGTGATGAGAGACTCGGCATAAAAACACTACCAACCGTTGACCAATGTATTGCTAATAGTTTTTTTTTTTAAAAGCGATGTATTTTTCTAGCAAACACATGTAGTTGCTTTCAATCGGCTCATAAATAATTCATATTTACATTGTACGTCACGTCAGAGGTCATCTTTGTTTGTCAAGCACGGGACGAAGTTGCACATGTATGAAGACAATATATGAGTGGAAGAACCTATGGTGACAATACAACCATGGTATTTCCATGATACAGACACTGCAAAAACAGTGCAATTTAGAATTTCATAAAAAGTCATACCGTATTTGCTTTATTATAAGCACATTTCCAATAGAAGCACATATACCTAGAATTTGCATTTATTTTATCATTAGGTAGTTAATATGCATAGATTTGAATCAAGTACTCAATATATAGATTTCAATCAAACTAATCAAGTCAGTGCATTGTCTCATGGTATCTGCAGTCTGCAAAAAGCGTTGTTGAAATGCAATTTTTAGATTTTTAGATAACAGTGGAAAAAGCTGAAAAATGACAAATCGTTATGCAAATTAGGTAGTTGATGTGCACCGATTCACATCAAAATCTAATTATGCATGTGCATTGTCCCAGAGCATCCATGTACCAATTTTCATTGAAATCCATACTTAGTCTTGAAATTCATTTTTCATGGCAGAGGAAACTCAAATATGGATTTGTGGCATCATGGATCCACATAGCTAGTATACATGTCTGAGAGGAAGCAGTCATGGTCACCTATTAAACTTGTGAAAAATGGCAACAAACAGATTCACAAATGACTGTGAAATTAAAAATTACCCTCCTTTCTATCGCTGAATTGACTCCGATGCATGCTGAGGAACATAGTAACAAAAAAGCTTGTCTACGTGTATACACAGAATACAGCAAACATTTGTAAGCATACTAAATCTAATTTGTCACTGTATGTAACCATCATTCTGAATGGCTGAAATATAAATGCATGATGCATATATCCTTGTTAGCAACCAATGAAGCACTGCGTTACATATCTCTTACCTAGACCACACTCTCCTATTGCAATCACCTTCTCTTTGTTCTGATCTACAAGGTCATATAAATCTTGCAAATATTTTTCCGGATTGTTCTCCGCTTCAAATTCAGTACACCGTGTTGGATGGCACCCCACTGTACTGTATAGGTTATCTGAAATACAATTCACAGTTATACTCCACACTACTCTATCTTGTATTGCAATATACAATTGACCATATATAGACATTGCTTAATACATTATTTTATGATTAATGGTATTTCCGTACTACAGGTAACACACCATAATTAGAATTGTAATCAAGGTGCGGGGTCATGCAGGCACCTGAATGTAATCAAGTCTGTTTCGACATTTAGCAAGAAATGTCATGTTTGTTTTGTATGATGTACCGGTATAAGCTTTATATAATATTAATATTTATATAATGTTTTAAGTGAAATTTTCGTGAAAACCATTCTATACTAAAATGGCGTCCTGAGGGATTGCTCAAAATAAGGATGACCACACCCACCAATACATATATAATACAATACAATACAATACAATACAATACGGTGTAGAAATGTTATACTCACTACGGCTGCACACTATATTAGATTGCCTATGCAATATATGGCACAGTAGCGAATTCATCGTTGTTTTCATATAGGCGTTTATCGCATGAACATGGTACATAACATTCACGGTTGTTTTTTGCGTGGAATATAACAGATATGGTTCGCAGAATGTAACGTTATTCACATTACACGTCATTGTGAACAAACAAAACGCAAAGAAAGGAAAAACACGAGGTGGTACTGCTTTTATAAGCGAGTTACAGACCGCATATTAACAACAATTACTCCTAAATGACCCGATCTCATAATATCAACTAAAACTTTATTTCAAACAACTATCCAGGATGACATTTCTCGCAATTAGCAATAAAATTAAGGTTTCTCTTGACTTTTTAAAACTTGTCACGCAATATGTGTATCGCCTTGTATATAGAGCTAGTTGTTACTTCTAACATCGTGTAATGTTGTGGGTAATACTAACCCATGATATTACTCACCATCCAGCTCTATACGGAATGATATCCGATCATAATCTCATAATATCACACCTGTGTCCATAAGTGGACGTTCCGCGATTAAAAATGAAATGATTACGTAGTTTAAACTTATAAAATATCACAAATGTGGCAAACTTACCGTTTGTTTTGGCAAGTTCTAAAGCCTTCTTACTGTCTTCTAAACTACCACCAGTCACAAAAATCTGGAATAAAAACATCTAATTTAAGACTCATTAACTCATGTTTAACTGTATGTCACTGTACACTCAATAAAGGACTACCGATATTATGACTGATATGACATTAGCGTTCTTATCAAAGGGGTGCTTTGGTGACGTTTGGAACATAACATGACTTACAGTCAGTTTATGAGTTCCATGAGCACCATCTTTTTTCCTGCTAATATGTTGGTACAACATTTTTGTGCATTTTAGTTCCGCTGAGGTGACCACCGGTGTAACTGCATCCACTGAGGTGACTTTATCCATTGAGCTAACTGCATCCACTGAGGTGACTTTATCCATTGAGCTAACTGCATCCGCTGAGGCATTGTCTTAATAACAATAATAATAAACAATATCTTTTGAATTCCAGCATCAGCAGCTCTTTGTAGGACATCAGTAAG